GGGGGGGGGGGGGGGGGGGGGGGGGGGGGGGGGGGGGGGGGGGGGGGGGGGGGGGGGAGAGGAAGGGGGAGGAGAGAGGGGGGAGGCACAGACAGACAGACGGGTAACGAGATATTGAGACAGAATACGATAAGATAGAAATAGAGATAGATAGATGGATAAATAGATACATAGAGAGATAGAGAGAGAAGGGCAGTAGCACTGCCAGGTGAACACAAGTACCACCGCCTTCGGTGGCGTTATCGCGATGCTATTCGCGCACGAATACGGCAAACATTCAAAAACATTCAGCAGCAAATTTCACCGCAATATCAGTCCAGAAGGTTACGGTATGCGCGCTACGGAGGCTGTCGTCTTTCACCTGTTCTAGCTGAGCCTTGGCGAGCCTGAGGTATCCCTTGGCGAAATCGGGCGATGCCTCCACGGCCTTGGCAGCCGACTGGTTTCGTTTGCCCCGAAGCGATATCAGTTACGCCGCACCCATGGGTCAGTGGTCGTCGTTGCACACGTGTGCGGTTTGGGAGGGGGGTTAGTACGCGAGGAGCCAAAGGTCGAGGCGGCCTCGAACGATCGTCTTACCTACTCCTCTCGCGCGATTTCCGAGGCAACACGGCCGATGGCGGTCGAAGCTATGCGCTTCATATGAAGACGCGCTCTTGGAACCTCCACAGCTCGTTTAATGGCGGCGTTTCGCATTGCAGGAATATGTAGTATGCCGCACGAAGTGATTGCTCAACCAACAGACAACACTCCCCATGCCTAACCACAAGCTTAGAAGGACCAACACCACCTCTATACATCGGTGTAGGATCACTCGTCGAGTTTATCTACGGTTAGGATTCGACGATTGCAAACGGCACTGGAGGTGGAGGGTGTTTGTTATTTCTAGCCAAATCTGTCCCGGACTGATCTGTGGAAGACTTGAATTCGTTGTGCTTTTGAAAGAAAAAAAAATCCATGTTTATGAAGGAAACAATAAAAAGAGAAACTGTCTTTGCTATATCTACTCCAGACTCATACTTGTGGCAAATGGTATTGTGCTGTGTTTTTGTGACCAAAAGGAAGATCGTTACGGATGTTGCAAAAGAACAAAAAAGAAAAACCACCTTCTCGGATTCGCTCCATCTCCCGAGCTTGGCCAGGGCCATGGCGCGGTTGGAGTGAAGCAGGTGGTCGTCGGGTGTGTGAGAGAGGGCCGAGGAGTACCTCCTCAGCGCTTCCACGGCATCGCCCGCCTGGGGGAGAACGAGGGGTGCGGGGGGGAGATACTCAAGGTTTGCATGCCTTCGCTGATAGACCATTCACCACGCGTCCTCGAGAGGACGGCGCATTGTTCCCACAGCACCGATCACCGACCAATAATCGTTCCTTCCTACGTCGCCAAAGGTGGCTCAATATTTTCCTCCCCTATCCTGTCGATAACCCTTCCCGCCTGTTCAGTCCACTTCCTGTGCCCTAGGGGAGGGGCACACAACCAAGAGTGGCAGTGGGTCGTCATCAATAAATTTCTCATTGTCCGTTTAACAGTAGCAGTGTCCGGCCTCCAGCAACGCTTGTTGTACCACGTGAGAGCCTCAAGATAGACTTAAAAAGCGCGCACAAGCGATACGACGGCGGCGGCGGCAGTGGCATCGTCGCCATAACTTCTTCCTCTTTCGTCGATTTCACAGCAGCAGCGGCCGGCCTCCAGCATTGCTCGTCACCTCGTACAGCTTGACTTCAAGCAGAGCAGCAGTGTGTGTTCCCGCTTGGTCGAAACTCGTGGAAATGGGTGGTGGGAATGCAACGGCCCACGATGCGCACCGCTTCACTCGCCCTGGCACGTGCATGCCGACTTCCCATCTACGGCGGTGCACTGGCCTCACGCCACACCGCAGGCGTTTGGAACCGGCCTCTACACGTGGTCCGCACCGTGCCACAACCGGATTCGACCACAGGTATCGATATCATCTCAGCACCCCTCCGCCGGCGGGGGACGGCGCCCGCGGCGGCAACTATCGTACAAAACACAAGATAACCCCCCCTACTCACGTCGAGCAAGCTGAACGACCGGACCAACCACGCAAAAACTGCGGAGCTAGATGTGCGGCACGCACAATGCATTGTTTTCGATTGGAGCGAGGCGAGTATAAAGCAGCAAGGAATTGTTGGCCAAACTTTCGGCAGATAGGTCTACTCGGGAGCGTAAGTGGGGTAGCAACCCATGGTGGAGCGTACATGAGAAGCTGGACGTTGGTGTACGCCCCATCCCGGCGTGTGAGTAGGATCTTAGGCTATGCAAGTCGTCCCTGAACTTATTGTGGTGAAAATGACCTCCCAGGAGGAAAGTAGACTGTACCGCGCGACTTCGGAGATGATAAATTGGATGGTCGGGGGACGTCTGGGTGTTTACTCAAAAGTGCGCCCGGCACAAGACTGGGGTACTTGTGTCAGGAGGTGTGAACTTGGATCTAGACTACGAGCCTATGTTGGAGGCGCTATTTAGCGTCGGTGAGCCGGCAAAAGAA